TCCCCCCTCCCCCCTCTGATCCGCCCGCGGTGACGGGCGGAGCGGACGGGGGAGGGGGGGGGTACAGCTGGCTCTGCCTCTAGATAGGCAGAGCCAGCTGTCACTCACGCAGCTGGGCGGATCCAGACATAATTGTCGGGATCCGCTTCAGCTGCGGCGTCTCAGTATAGGGAGCTACAGCTCGCGGTATACTGAGCTTAGGGTGTTGGGAGGACGCTAGTTTGTGTCCTCCCGTTACCCTAAGGAGAACTATGGGGAAAAGCCCTGACCCCCATAGTTCTCCTTTAAGGGACCTGAATGGATTTTTAAGATTTAACTCCGGAGTTTATCGTCACTCTAACCACCAAAAACAAACGCAACACCGTTCAGCTAAAGAGCAATACCCGATTACATCTTACCGCTTCCTGGATTTCACAACGGAAGACGTGTATCCTGAAGAGCTCCGCATTGTAATGACTTTCTGTAAATGCAAAGCAATCGCTCTCCGGAGTCCCATCGTGGCCTCTTACGCAAAACAGAATCTTGTATATCGGATATTGTGCAATCTCAGTGTTGGTCTGCGGGTCCAGAAGTCTATTGAGAATAAAAGAAAAAAAGGCAGACAGAAGGAATCAGAATCCTGAAGCTAACGTACAGACAGAAAACATTTGGTATGGTGTTCGTCACTGGCATCGGGCACGTTTAAAAGGAGAACTATGAGGCGGGTGATTTTCACTCAGCCTCATAGTTGGAGCCGACCTGTGACAATGAAACTGTCACACGTCGGCTCAGTAGATCGGGAAGTGAGAGAACACATACCGTCGCTCGCTTACTTCACTTCATCTCCCTGCAGAGAGCCGTGACTGTCACTCACGGCTCCCTGCAGGGATCCCCCCCTCCCCGCTCCTCCAGCGCTGACTGGCGGAACGGACGGGTGAGGGCACAGCTGGCTCTGCCTCTAGATATGCAGAGCCATCTGTCATTCACGCAGCTGGGCGGATCCAGACGTAATGAGATTCCTCTAGTGATAATAAAGATCTATATAGAGGAATCAGGACCTCCTTCCTCCTGCTGTCGACCCCTCTAGATAGGCAGAGCCGGCTGTCACTCACGCAGCTGGGTGGATCCAGACAGTAATGTCGGGATCCGTCCCGGCTGCGGCGTCTCAGTATACCGCGAGCTGTGGCTCCCTATATACTGAGCCTAGGGTAACGGGAGGACGATAGTTTGTGTCCTCCCGTTACCCTAAGGAGAACTATGGGGAAAAACACCAACCCCATAGTTCTCACAGACAAAAGCCGCCGGGACTCTGTTTACATCTGTAAAGCCAACTGTCGGCTTTACAATAGAGGCGTTTCTGGCGACTCAGCTGTCGTCAGATCACTTCTACGGGCCGAAAAACAGGACCCCCTCCCCGCCCGACACCCTCACCGTGTTTCCCAGGATCCGCTGCCCCTCCTACGGGCCCGGCATGTTGGGTGTCGGCGGGAAGCTGGGGAGGAGAGCGGCAAACGTCCATTCACCGATCTCCTCCCCGTACTATGGGACTGGAAGCGAGGCAGATTACATCACTTCCAATCCCATAGCTGTCATTGGTCGGCTCCTGAAGCCCAGCAATAAGCTATTGAAGTACAATCTGCACCCCAATAGATTATTTAGAGTGTAAAGGTGACACTAGGGGGTCTTTTGGACCTTAAAGTGGACCTGTCACTGCCAATATGCTATCACATAAGCGGCTTGTAAGCTCCCCTATGTGATAGCAATTAAAGTAAAAAAAAAAAAAAAGTTTTTTAAATTATTAAAATTAAATGTAAAAATTATTAAAAGCACGAGCGTCTTCACGTAAACACGCGTCGGGTGCGCCAACGTACGAAAACGACGATCGCGCTACACATATTGGGTATTGCCGCGCACGCAAGAGTGAGAGCAATAATTCTAGGGCCAAAATGTACACGTATCTCTAAACTGATGACCTGTAGGGGCTTTTAGGGCATCGTCTACAGACTTTTTGGGGTACTGAATTTTGTCGCCGTTTCACAGGCGTACACAATTTTTAACCTGGGCATGTTGGGTATCTATTTACTCGTTGTAACCTCATCTTTTATGTTTTATTTTTAAAAATTGGTATTTTGGGGCATTTAAGCGCATTTTTCACTATATTTGCTCCAATATGGTGCCACAGAAAAATTTGCAGTTGCCACCATTTTATTCTACAGGGTCTCGGCTTTCAGAAAATATATAATGTTTGGGGGGTTTCAAGTAGTTTTCAGACCTAAAATGTGGATTATAACATGTAAACAAAAATACATATATTTTTTTTTAAAGGTCTCGGTCAGGAAGGGGTTAAAGAACAATTGCACCTTTATTATAAAATGTAATATTACAATATGACACCTTGCACGCCCCAAAGCTGAACCCTACAAAACAGGTAAATACATAAAAGATTCTTTTTTTTTTTTTTATCTGCCATAGGATTTTTATTTCTGTCTATCCAATTCTGAGATTTATACAGCTCTGCCACACAGCACAGCCCCGTTTGGCAGGGCAGATGTCCTGCTTTGTTCTACTGCAGTTATGCAACATTTACAGGTCTTGTCCTTCCCCGGACTGCGACTGCATAGTGGAAGGAGGAACAGCAGACTGATACGTTAATCTCTCTGTCACTCTGCTCTCTCTTCCTATCAGTATGTTCCTCAACAGCACATGAGCAATGCAGCAAACCTGACTGGGGCTTGGTATTCCCAAATCTGAGCTCTTCTATGCAGGGAATTGCAAGAAGCGAGATCAGGTCATTACACTAATTGCATTAAAAAAAATACACCTAAGGGCTTGTTCACACGACGTCCGGATTGTGTCCGGACCAGAACCGTGCGCTCCTGCACCCAAAATGCATGCCAATGTATCCCTATGTGTTTTATGGGCTACGGTTCTCACGTGTGCAGTCCGGTCCGGACAGAGAAAATACTGCATGTCACATTTTGTCCGGTCCGGATACGGTCCGGAAACGCACGAACGCGTCAAAAACGCAACGAAAACGCACCGCACTGCAGCTAAAATACTGACAGCCCCACTCCCAACAAAAAAAATTATAATTTGTTTTTAAATGGAATGCATCAAAAACGCACTGCACGCATAACACCACGTCCGCAGATCTGTTCCAAATCCGGACCAGATCTAGTCCGGACATCGTGTGAACGAGCCCTAAAAGACGGGACATGGTGTGAACGAGCCCTAAAAACTATGGGCAAACTTTTTTTGGCATTAGTTCTCTTTTGGGTCACGGAAGGAAATGATGTCCTCCTGTGACCCAAAATTCAGCATATAGTAGGCTACAGCCCACTATATGCTGACAGCGCAGAGGTGCACTTCAGCTGGGAAAGATCCCGACAATCATGTTGGGATCCACCCCGCTATCTGATTGACAGCTGGGTCTGCCTCTCTAGAGCCATCTGTGCCCGCCCCCTCCCCCGTCTGTCCCTCCACTCAGCGCTGGAGAAACAGAGAGGGGAGGGGGGAATCCATGCGGGGAGCCTTGACTGAGAGTCAGTGTCTAATCTACAAGCATAGGTTTTTAGGGGGGTCCGGGGGGTTTAAGTGTTCCAGGGTAATTACAATAATAGGTGTTGTCCTATAGTTGCCTTTACATAAATAAAAAGTGGTCCCCCACCTGACAGTTCCCTCCGACACACTAGGTACAGAAAGCGTCACATCCAATGCGTTCTGGCATTGTCCTCGAAGAATGGAGATCATTCTAAGAGCTTCGACTTCGCTGCGTGGAGCATTCACCGAGGCACATCCGAGGTAGGTGAGTTGACTGAACACAACGCTGTCCTCATCAGGAAGCGGGGAGAACAATTCCGATGCGTCTGCTCCCTCTGCGAGATAGACAGAAAAGATCCGGGCTGTGTGAGGTATACATGGCATCACATACATACTCTATATCAAAAAACAGGGAGTGCAGTCCGTTATTCTACAAAACAGGAAGCATCATTTCTCTGCATGTTTGTATGTTTGATGAATCTGTGTACTCGGAGCAGGAGCCACCATTCTGCACCAAGAGGCCTATTTATAATGAGGGCGGATAAAGCTATCTGCTGGACACTGCAACGCGACTCCACACTCAGAAAATGCAGGCCGGGGTGTGCGGGCCACATTCATAAAATGCAGACCAGATAGCGCAGTCCACACTTATAAAATGCAGGCTGCGGCGTGAGGACATTCATAAATTGCAGGCTGCAGTGCGCAACACCATTTATAAAATGCAGGCCAGAGAGCACAGTCCACATTCATAAAATGCAGGCCGCAGCCTCCTAGTGTTCTCGCTGCTTCATGATTGGAGGAGAGGTCGATCACATGCCGGACAGGTCATATGAAATGTCTTCTCTTACTCATGAGTCTGAATAGCACAACGCATGTTAGTGACGCACATATTAGTTCTTGCCAAGAGCAGTTTTAGGTCAAATATGAAAGATGATGTTTGTGATAAATGGTGTTTGAAGACAAAATGTCCATCTGTCCGCTCATTTATGACACAGCTCCTGCTTATGTGTAGCAATAAAGGGCCGCCCTATGGAGTGAGAAGAAGAATGCTGAAACTTCAACCTGTTTATATTCTGCATACTGTGTGATAAGTCTCTAGATAAGGATGTTACACTGTGGGGATCGTCTCTAGATAAGGATGTTACACTGTGGGGATCGTCTCTAGATAAGGATGTTACACTGTGGGGATCGTCTCTAGATAAGGATGTTACACTGTGGGGATCGTCTCTAGATAAGGATGTTACACTGTGGGGATCGTCTCTAGATAAGGATGTTACACTGTGGGGATCGTCTCTAGTGATGTTGCACTGTGGGGATGCTCTCTAGATAAGGATGTTACACTGTGGGGATCGTCTCTAGATAAGGATGTTACACTGTGGGGATCGTCTCTAGATAAGGATGTTACACTGTGGGGATCGTCTCTAGATAAGGATGTTACACTGTGGGGATCGTCTCTAGATAAGGATGTTACAAGGGAGTTTCTGATTCATTAAGGGGCTCTCATGTGAAGGGGGGTACCACTGATGTATGGGGGGTGCTATGATGTGATGGGGAAGTTCTGTTGTAAAAGGAGGGCTTCTGATTTGAAGTCTGGCTTCTGATGACGGGGGGATCTCTGCTGTGTATGGGGGGGCCTCTGATGTGAAAGGGACTTCTGATGTATTGGGGTAGCTCTGATGTGAAGGGGGCTACTAATGTCTGGGAGAAGCTCTGTTGTGAAAGGGGAAGGGGGGTTCTGATGCATTTGGTGGTAGGCTATGATGTCAAATGAGCTTCTGATGAATGGAGGGCTCTAATGTGAAGGGGGCTTCTGATGTATGGGGGAGCTCTGATGTAAAAGGGGGGAAGGGGCTTCTGATGTATCGGAGGAGGTCTGATGTGAAAGGCGAGGGGTGGATTCTGATGGAGGGGTATACTCCATGTCTTTTTTTTTTTGCCTTGCCTGGGGTTCCCCCTTAAAATCCATACCAGACCCGTCTAGGATAAGGGTTTAGTATTGTTTGGGGTGGGACCACATGTCATTTTTTACACCTACGCTTCTTAGGTCGGGGGGCCCTCAATATTCTGCACACTTTTCAGGTGCTGTGACTGAAATAAAGGTTGGGAAATGCTGCCCTACTCCACCCAGACTAACATAAAAGTTTTGGGTTTAGATACACTTTAAAATGATGTTCCATAGACACAAATGGTAATTCATGTCGAGTAGCACTTTACTGTGATGTTGTGAAAACAAAGAATACTCTGTATAACAAGCACTGTACATAGTCAGCACTTCAGACCATTACCGTGCTGTGCTGGCTTCACCGGCAGACTCATCTCTTGCTTCTGCGGTCCTACCGTGGATGGGTTGATGGTGGAAGACGCAGACGAAGCTTCGTTAGAGGACTCATCCAGTTCCTCCTCTGGATGTACCTTGTCCATCTCCTCTGTCTGCTTGTCAGGATCTTCGGTTGGCGTGTCCATCAGAACATCTTCCAGCTCCTTCTGGAGCTGCTGCTCACTTCCGTTCCCAACGATCTAGAAATAAAACAGAACCACGAGAATGCGCCAGTTAGGTGTCATAACGATAGGAACTTCCATCCCACGTCTGGGACTCCCTGCACACCACCTTCGGCCAGCCCGGACATTACGGCATCTGCACCCGCCTCGGCACCAGCACGCATCAACCCGCCGCCACCAGCGCTCCACAACGAAGAAATCCAACCAGCCTCCACCCAGCTATCCTCGAACCTAACGGGACCCCTTCAGTACCCACGACACCACCACCCTTGCAGTTGCCCGTCCGCTCAGCACACACACTGCATTCAACACGGAGGATTCGAAAGGAGAAACTACAATCAACTCCCCATCGCAGAGACCCCGACGCCGTTGATTGCAGACGCAAGCAAACCTCATGGTGAGTTACTACACTCTCTTTTTTGCTTGACACCAGCATTTCATGCCTCATCTGTTACCTCTCTCTCCCTCTCGCCTTTAAACACCAAACGGAGTTTTGAATGACACACAAACCTCCTTCTAAGCCCCCCAGGCCTGAACACCCCCTGCCTGCAAGTGTAGTAGCGCTTTAGACCTCCTTTTTTGTTTTTCCTGAGGTGTCATCCATATGTCTCCTACTTTGGTGTTATGTATTTCAACATATCTGGCCATACGTTTCTCAAACCCCAGGTTTCTACAAGAGGCCCCTTGGGGCTCTGCCACCTCCACCATGGAGTCAGATTCCTATCCAGTATCACCCCTGAAGGCTACCGCTGTAGGAGATTGACATCCGCAGAACGGTGCCACCAGTCAGACTGATGTCAGCCCCATGATACTCGGAGATCTGGCACTTGATGTTACCAGTGGCAGGAAACTAGAGGAGCAGCTTCTGTAAAAAGGGAACATATGAGGAAACCTTTAATTCTAAGTCTCTTCTTCCTGATTATGTGAACATAGGCGACTAAAGACCAGCCCCATACTGCTGCTTTCATACAGAGGTCTAAGAGCCAGAGAGGCTGGGCAGACAATTCCATCAGAGAAGGATGGGAATAAAACAGATCGGTTCCAGGTGGAAGGGAAAAGAGGATCACTAGATCCAATTAGTCATACAGGTGGTTCTGTGCACTGGGTGCCAGCTATCCCATCGCCAGCTATACATTCTGATGAGCGCCATTGCACTGTTATGAGTTTTCTGAATCATCAATGCATTGTTATGAGTCTGAGGCCTTGTTCACACCAAGCGCGGAGCAGGTGCAGAGCAGATCGGATCAAAACTGCGTCCAATGTATTCCAATGGTATTTTTTGCTCCAGTTCACATCGCAGCGTGCAGAGCAGGTGAAAAAACTGCAGCAAGCCCTATTTTACCTGCTCTGGATCTGCTCTGGAACGCATCAAAAACGCATCAAAAACACATGCAAATGCCTGGAACCCACTGAAAGCCCATTTTAAACTTTAAAAAAAATGTTTACCGAAAGACAGAGAAACAGATCAAAAACGCGTCTAAAAGACAAGCGTGCGTGTGCAGAAACCTGACCGGACTGCTCTGCATTTGGTGTGAACAAGGCCTGAGTCTCTGCTAAGCCCCAATGCATGGTTATGGGTTTCCGCTAAGCCCCAATGCATGGTTATTCGTTTCCGCTAAGCAGCAATGCATTGCCAACGTTTCAGGAGCTGTTAAGCAGAAATCTATTTCAGAGATTCCTTAACCACTTGCTGACCGCGGTGTTACACCCCCTTCCTGTCCCGGCCATTTTCCAGTATTCAGCGCTGCGGTACTTTTGACATTTATTCCGTCATCCAACGCTGTACTGACATGAATTTTATACCATTTTTTGGGGACAGATAGAGCTTTCTTTTAGGGGTATTTAATCACCACTGGAGGGGGGTTATTTTTTACTATAACAAAAAAAGTACCCTAATTTTTTTTTTTTAAAACCTGTTTCCCTATGAAATGTTCTGAAACATTTATTATAACCCCAATTTTTGGGTAAAATATAAAAGACGGGGTCACGTCGGGTAAATAGACACCAAACGTGTCAAGCTTTAAAATTGTGCGCTGCGAGTCCCATAAGACTCTGGTAGCCTTTAGTTTTGGGTGAAAATCTGATGGCCTTTAAAAGGAGAACTATGGGGTCAGGGCTTTTCCCCATAGTTCTCCTTAGGGTAACGGGAGGACACAAACTAGCGTCCTCCTGTCACCCTAGGCTCAGTATATAGAGAGCTACAGCTCGCGGTATACTGAGACGCCGCAGCCGGAGCGGATCCCGACATCAATGTCGGGATCCGCCCAGCTGCGCGAGTGACAGCTGGCTCTGCCTATCTAGAGGCAGAGCCAGCTGTACCCGCCCCCTCCCCCGCCCGTTCCGCCAGTCAGCGCTGGCGGATCGGATCGGGGAGGGGGGAATCCAGCCCCTCCCCTGTCACGACAGGATCGAGAGGGGAGCGAACGCCGGTATCTGTTCGCTCACCTCCCGATCTACTGAGCCGACCTGTGACAGTCTCATTGTCACAGGTCGGCTAGAACTATGAGGGGAGTGGAAATCACTCCTCTCATAGTTCTCCTTTAATGTAGGTGCCAGGGAAGGAGCGAAGGGCAGGGGTAGGCGATCTCCAGCTGTGGTGCAACTACAAATCCCATTTGCAAGACTCTAGCAGCCACAGCCACGACTCCAGAGGCAGATGCATGATGGGATTCATAGTTTCCCCATAGCTGGAGGGTGAAAGTTTGGCTGCCCTTGTCCTAAAGTAAACTCCTTCGCTGCCTTGACGAACCAGCGCAAAACAAACACCGATTCCCTTATTGTGTCTCGGATCTCCTGCGTTTCTCTACACCTGCAGACGAGGTGCCGCCGCAGATCGAGTGCAGACTTGCAGCAGGAAGAGCCAAGAACAGGCTTGGCAACAGCAGAGAAACACAAACAGAACAAGTGCAGTGTGCTTATCAGCAAGGACGGCCCGGCCCCGTGTAACACAAAGCCCCGGCGTTCTCCTAAAAGAGGATTTCCTTCATTTCCTACCATACAGGCGATGTGCGGTGGTGTCACAACAGAAAAGTCACGGACACGACGCGCTCACCTTGAGCCCGGTTTTCTCGTCGTCGCTGCCGTTATTTGCAGAATGCATCTCATCCCCTTGTTGGTAAACCAGCACAAAGTCTTCGCTGTTCAGGGTGGACACGGAGTCAGAGGACACGCTGATCTTCCCCACAGAAGCCTTGTCATCCATGTTTCATGAAGGAGGATCCACACATGAATGATTCCCTACAGGGGAGAAAAAATTGTCTTTTGTTAGTGTACGAGAAATCTCTTCATTACAGATCAGGGACCGAGCGATCCAAGTACAACGTCCTCCCCGCCCGGTCATGCTGAAAGATTCAAGTGATACTGTAACAGGGTGTGTTTTGTTTTTTTTATAATACCGATAGGAGGAATAAACAAGAGACGTGTCCCGACACATACAAATGAAGTAATACGGGATCCCTGCTTCAAGTCTAGAGGTAGAGACTAGAGATGGGGTAGGGAACTCCGGCCCTCTAGCTGTTGTGGAACTACAAGTCCCGTAAGGCATTGCAAGACTGACAGTTACAGGCTTGTTGGGATATGTAGTTAAAGCACAGCCGGAGGGCCGGAGTCGCCCGCCCCTGATGTAGAGTATAACTTATAGAGGGCAGTCAGTGGTCAGTAGCCTGTCTGGGATATACAGAGTGGTGAAGTGCCCGCTTTCGGAGGCGGTCAGTGGTTACTGGTAGCTTAACCACAGCCGGAGTGCACAGGTTGCCCACCCCTGGTGACGACGACCCCTTGGCTGTAAGACGGCGACAAAATCAGACCGCCGCTGTCAGAATGTGAAGATTCTGCTCTCAGCCTCACCCTGTGCAGAGATTCCTCCGCTTGCCTGGACCACAATTCGCAGCACACTATGGCCAGTAGATGGAGCCGCGGAGCACATGAAATTGCTACAACCCCCGGCTCCATGTATTGGTCATAATGTGCTGAGGGTCTATAACGAAGACCCGGGGGGGCCACAATTTGTTCTGTTGAGATCTGCTTTTCAAATGATGAGCTCAATGAGATCTACCAAGGAAAAAACACCTCCCTCGCACGATCTGTCTCTCCTCCCTCTCCCCCCTGGCCGTCTCTCCTCCCTCTCTCCCCCCTGGCCGTCTCTCCTCCCTCTCTCCCCCCTGGCCGTCTCTCCTCCCTCTCTCCCCCCTGGCCGTCTCTCCTCCCTCTCTCCCCCCTGGCCGTCTCTCCTCCCTCTCTCCCCCCTGGCCGTCTCTCCTCCCTCTCTCCCCCCTGGCCGTCTCTCCTCCCTCTCTCCCCCCTGGCCGTCTCTCCTCCCTCTCTCCCCCCTGGCCGTCTCTCCTCCCTCTCTCCCCCCTGGCCGTCTCTCCTCCCTCTCTCCCCCCTGGCCGTCTCTCCTCCCTCTCTCCCCCCTGGCCGTCTCTCCTCCCTCTCTCCCCCCTGGCCGTCTCTCCTCCCTCTCTCCCCCCTGGCCGTCTCTCCTCCCTCTCTCCCCCCTGGCCGTCTCTCCTCCCTCTCTCCCCCCTGGCCGTCTCTCCTCCCTCTCTCCCCCCTGGCCGTCTCTCCTCCCTCTCTCCCCCCTGGCCGTCTCTCCTCCCTCTCTCCCCCCTGGCCGTCTCTCCTCCCTCTCTCCCCCCTGGCCGTCTCTCCTCCCTCTCTCCCCCCTGGCCGTCTCTCCTCCCTCTCTCCCCCCTGGCCGTCTCTCCTCCCTCTCTCCCCCCTGGCCGTCTCTCCTCCCTCTCTCCCCCCTGGCCGTCTCTCCTCCCTCTCTCCCCCCTGGCCGTCTCTCCTCCCTCTCTCCCCCCTGGCCGTCTCTCCTCCCTCTCTCCCCCCTGGCCGTCTCTCCTCCCTCTCTCCCCCCTGGCCGTCTCTCCTCCCTCTCTCCCCCCTGGCCGTCTCTCCTCCCTCTCTCCCCCCTGGCCGTCTCTCCTCCCTCTCTCCCCCCTGGCCGTCTCTCCTCCCTCTCTCCCCCCTGGCCGTCTCTCCTCCCTCTCTCCCCCCTGGCCGTCTCTCCTCCCTCTCTCCCCCCTGGCCGTCTCTCCTCCCTCTCTCCCCCCTGGCCGTCTCTCCTCCCTCTCTCCCCCCTGGCCGTCTCTCCTCCCTCTCTCCCCCCTGGCCGTCTCTCCTCCCTCTCTCCCCCCTGGCCGTCTCTCCTCCCTCTCTCCCCCCTGGCCGTCTCTCCTCCCTCTCTCCCCCCTGGCCGTCTCTCCTCCCTCTCTCCCCCCTGGCCGTCTCTCCTCCCTCTCTCCCCCCTGGCCGTCTCTCCTCCCTCTCTCCCCCCTGGCCGTCTCTCCTCCCTCTCTCCCCCCTGGCCGTCTCTCCTCCCTCTCTCCCCCCTGGCCGTCTCTCCTCCCTCTCTCCCCCCTGGCCGTCTCTCCTCCCTCTCTCCCCCCTGGCCGTCTCTCCTCCCTCTCTCCCCCCTGGCCGTCTCTCCTCCCTCTCTCCCCCCTGGCCGTCTCTCCTCCCTCTCTCCCCCCTGGCCGTCTCTCCTCCCTCTCTCCCCCCTGGCCGTCTCTCCTCCCTCTCTCCCCCCTGGCCGTCTCTCCTCCCTCTCTCCCCCCTGGCCGTCTCTCCTCCCTCTCTTCCCACGCTCTCTCAATTCAGACGCACCGCAAATCTTCAGCATCTTTTTACATGCTTCCTGCACGATGTCCTGTCCTCGCGCAGTGCTAGTGTGGCCGAATGTGTCAGGCGCTGCAGACGGGGAGGGAGCTCGGAACAGCAAGCCAACTTAGCGTTAGCTTTGCGAACGACTGGTAGATCCTGATCGACCTAAGGGGCACTAGGAATGAGTCCTGGATTATTCATATGTAAATATTAGGGCTGTGCAAATTAATGATTAATTTCTCGATTAATCGTTAATCTTTTTGATCGATTAAACATTTTTTGAAACTTTCTGCACGAGCGCCAGCCAAGGCACTGCCCTATACACATACAGCACAGCAATGTCCTATACACATACAGCACAGCAATGAAGTCATAAAATAAACTAGGATCACACTAATCCAGCACGTTATTATTCTGAGTTGCCCCACTCAAGCGGCGGCCATATTGAGTGGGGCACGTGAGATTAATAACGTGCTGGATTAATGTGATCCTAGTTCATTTTATTACTTCATTGCTGTGCTGTATGTGTATAGGCCAATGTAGTTGGATCTGTATGTGCGTTATCATTAATCGAAAATAATCGATTAAAAAAAATTTAGATTACTCGAACACGAAAATTTTAATCATTACCAGCCCTAGTAAATATCACAGTTGAGACTATTTTCCCCTATCTTAATTTTGGTTGCCCCTGTCTGCCTGACATCTTGTGTCCGGGTTTCTGCTGCCATAAAACCCGGACACAGCATTCAATACCCGGACTGTCCGGGTGAATCCTGGACAGGTGGCAACCCTAATGGGCACCGCTGGCTTTTAGACATTCACAGTGTGCTTTGCATCTCTTATTGTGATGCAATTGACTACATAACCCATCATGCATTGCTTCCAGCACGCAATGATAATGTTACATTGTTCAGATGCCGAGTTGCAGTCCAGGTTTAGTTAGAGTGCTGACACAAAGAAGTACATGAGAGAAATGTTATCAATAAGTAAGTTTACAGCCTTCTAGATGGATTTGGTTATTAGGAGTCTTAGAATTGCATGAAGTTACAGTCAATGGTCTGTCTTATATTCACAGATGGGTGCTGACCATTTAAACATATCTGGAACAAGCTGGTTTGTGAAAGAAACCAATATGTAACGATTGCGCACGTATGTCATGTGACTTTTTTTTGGGGGGGGGCTGAAAACACCACCAACAATGAAGTCCAGAGGAAGCAATTGAGGTCTTTTTGTGTCACGATAACACGTGTTTTACAAATGGGCTGTTTATCAGCGGCAGATAATACAGCCGAGTGTACTCTAATGGGAGCCGGCAAACCACATCAGAAATCCTTTTTGCCAACAGACGAAAGCATAACAAAAGTCTTATAGAGAAGCGAGATACGACAACCGATAAAGAGAATCCGGCGTGACAATAAGGAAGACATCAATAAAGATGGGCAAAGCAATGTGCGAGACGAGGCCGGTTATAGTCACAAGGCTGGATATGAAGAGTACAAGAAGTCAAACCGGATTAAAAGGAGAACTATGAGGGGGTGCTATTCACTCACCTCATAGTTCTAGCCGACCTGTGACAATGAGACTGTCACAGGTCGGCTCAGTAGATCGGGAAGTGAGCGAACACATACCGGCGTTCGCTCACCTCTCGATCCTGTCACGGCTCTCTGCTGTGACGGGGGGGCTGGATTCCCCCCTCCCCGCTCCGATCCGCCAGCGCTGACTGGCGGAACGGACGGGGGAGGGGGCGGGTACAGCTGGCTCTGCCTCTAGATAGGAGGAGCCAGCTGTCACTCACGCAGCTGGGCGGATCCCGTCATCTACGTCGGGATCCGCTCCGGCTGCGGCGTCTCAGTATACCGCGAGCTGTAGCCCGCTATATACTGAGCTTAGGGTGACGGGAGGACGCTAGTTTGTGTCCTCCCGTTACCCTAAGGAGAACTATGGGGAAAAACACTGACCCCCATAGTTCTCCTTTAAAGAGATGAAAGTTCTTTGCAAGGTTCTTATACTCATCCATGTGTCTCTCCAACCGGTCCAGCACCACAGCCTTGCCAAGACCCTTCATCCATCAACACTTCCAAGGGTATCAGATGCCTGTGCGCCCCACCGTGCTCTGGGGTTCCTTTCTCAGACCCCCTATATCAGGGTAGGTAGGGTTAGGGGATTGGGGGAGGGAGGTAGAGCGTATGGCGGGGGACCCAGGCATCCAACACTCCTGAAAGAGTTATGGAGACTGCAGAACCAGAAAAGAGCAATGGTAGGAGACCCCGGGAGATGGGTGCACTAATACTTTTTTTCAGACTGACGGGGTCTCCGTTAAGAAGAACTGCATGTCATGTTGCTGCTATATAAACACCATCATAAATAAATAAGGTGATTATCCCCACTATACAGATGGACCGCACTTTCTAATTGGGTATAAATGAGACTACATGTCTGGTAAAATAAAACCATTATCCTTTCAGATACCTTTCACTTCCTGTCTGATAGTCACAATGGGAAGCAATAGGAAAACCCTCCAAAGAGAGGGAATCCATGAAGGGTCTGCAGGGTCTCCAGAACTAGTGTCCCCATTGGCAGGGTCTCCAGAACTAGTGTCCCCATTGGCAGGGTCACCAGAACTAGTGTCCCCA